CGGACTTATAGGGCGAAACTAAAATTCCTCTGGGCGAAACGTTTCGGACTTTGGGGGAGGTTTAGGCCGAAACACTGGTGCACTCCATATAATATGAACTCTTTCCTTTTGTCTGGCAGGTATGACGTATTGTATATACACTGACGAAGCCAAATTTTGTTGCATTATTTGCAACATCCTGATCCATTGGAGATTAACGGAAACGAGTTTTCGCTTATTCTCATATGGATCAGGATATTATTCATTATCCACTGTGACCTTTGCATAGTTATAATAATAACTTGCAGTAGTAGGGTTGTTAATGGAGTACTCTAAGCTATAATAAAACATATGAACCACTCCAGCTTAAAACTGGAATAGTTTATATGTTTTATTATAGCTTGGAGTACTCCATTTAACAACCCTATGCAGTAGTAATGTGGAATTTTCCGTTAGTATTTACATAGTACCTACCTATTATTTCGGGTGATGTTCGCGCTGTAATAGGACTCATTCCAAATTATTATACTACATATTTATTGAAAATGATACCATTATTCTCCTTTTAAAGCCTTAAGAAACTTGCTGCGGGCGGATCTTGGTTCTAGAACACAAAGTTTTAATTAACAAGGTTTTTTAAAATTATAGAAAAAGGTATGAATTGGCAGGTTAATATCTAAATTAGATGTAAGAGAACAAAACTGACCTTGAATATTTATAGCGTAGTTTATTAGCTACAAAAGAAATATCAGACTTGGGGTTTTCAAGTTTATAACTTATCGAACTCAATATATAATACTTAATTAAATCCGATTAAATATTATATGCCACTTATCAGGGTTCTGAAGAAACTTCCTCAGTAGGGCTTGTAATGTTGTAATTAATTGAAGTGGTATTTACTAAAAATAAAAGTTCATGTGCCAAAAAAAAGCAGATCTAGTCGCGTATACTTATTCGCGTCTGTAACACAAATCAGATCTGGGATAGATCGACATATTTCGCTAGTGATCGGCATTGCAATTAACGGTTTAAGCAACTCTATGAAAGAAAAAAAATGGTAAGCACCACCAGATTTTATAAAATTTGCCTCCGATCTATTGAGTGAGATGCTTGAGAACACCCTAAGTGAATACCCTCTACAGTTATACCTGAGTTATATCTATAGATGCTGGTGAAATATGGTGAAATGTGGTGAAATAATTTCACCACTATTGGTGTAATCGATGGTGAATTGGTGAAATTGGCGAAATTAATTTCACCAGCATCTAAAGTTATATCCCCACTGGGTTATTTCTTAACCTGAGTTATATCCCCATTTTTTAGCAGAATAAATTTCCTTTTTTTACAGGGTTTGTATACTGAGTTATATCTCTACCATAGTTATATCTCTGGAAAAAGGGTGATATAACTCAGGTATGACTGTATCTTCCACATGTTGTGAAAGGTAAATCGTCGCCAAAGTGGCTCGGATTGATGTGGAAGATCGGGCGGAAATAATTTAGTGAATTCAGCAAGTTTAGTGAATTTATTGAATTTGTTGCATTTAGTGAATATAATTACTGTAGTAAATATATTAAATTTAGCGAATATGGTAAAGTTAGTGAATATAGTAGTTTTAGTGAATATACTCATAATGTACTCGCTAGTAGTGTAGAAAATAAAATACGATGCCTTCTGTCTTCACAATAAAGCAGTAATGAAGTGATCTATTTAAATCCGGATGATACTGATTATATAAAATCGAAATCAGAATAATACAAAATCAAATACGGATTATACGGATTATACATAATCAAATTCGAATTGATTTGGAATCTGAATAGTTCTTGGAACTATACAGTTTATATGTAGTTTGACAATTCATCGAAACAAACTGTATAGTTTATAGATGTGTTCCATATTAAAAATAGTGGGAAGGTTTGATTTAGTTCGATTTGGTTTGATTGATGCAGGATCTGCATAAATTAGAATTTATATTTAACCAAAGCAAACCAAATCAAACTTCCCCATCTCTAATTAAAAGGGCCTATTTTGACAAAAAAAATTTTTTATTTGATTTTTGAATATACAATAAAAAGATCCACAAAATAAAGTAAAAATTTTTATATATGTTCCTATTTGGGTTGTTGCATAGCAGAACCATGCTTAGAGTATATATATTTTATATGTTCTAAGCATGGTTTTGCTGTGCGACAACCCATTTGATCGAAATCGTTTATACTGTATGTAAAAATAGGCAGGACAATCCATATAATTCATACAGTTTAATCAAAAAAGTAAACATATTTTAAGTGATGTACCATAAAGACGTTGAATTGAAATTTGCAAATGGGTATTCCATATTATCGAATGACATCAATTCGCATAACTTAAATTCTTCATATAGTTTTAATAACTTACTATAGCTTTAATAGTTAACTATAGGTTAAATAGTTTTTACAGTTATTTTAATTATCTTAGCTCAAGTACAGTAGTTAACTACAGTTAACTATAGTTTCGAGTATTTCAAACAGTTATCCACCGGTCAACGGAACATACCACTATAAAGCAGAAAATATTTCCAACAAATTCATCATATGCTTCGTTTTGACAATAAAGTTATTGTACTAATCCTATGATCCGAATTAGAGCCTCGTGGAGTAATCGAGAGCTCTAATCCTCTTAAAACCCTAACTACTCAGACCAAGCTATCCACACCTCTATCAAAGTCCTTCTAATATTAGAGTTTAGCGTGTTTGTTGTTAGCTATTATTAGTATGACCCATATCCGACACCCTAGTATATCCCTGCCTTTCAACGTGCAGGTTTCTGGGCTGACATACACGTGATTAACATGAAAAGCTAGCCAATATGGTATATTAAAAATCCACCTGATCTCGAAGTATCACAATAAAACCCGTATATTGGCTCACTATTAATAATTTATTATCGCTATAACTTTTAAGAAAATTAATTTAGGTGGGTTTATAAAACCACCTTTGTTTCTTAACAAAAAAATTCCTTGCAAAATTTTGCTATATATAAGCCTCCTCTAACCCTAACCCAAATGCTCACAAACGCGTCAAGAGTTAATTTATTATTCGAAAAATGCATTGACGATCTGCGGTTTAAATTGGCCAATGGAATTTTAGCGCATATCATCACGTGGCCGCAAGATTTTATGCGTCAGTACGTATTATATTATTTATTTCCTTACATAATCATAGTGTTCCAAGCCTTACTTAGCTAGCTAATAGTCAGCTAATACGTAGTGGCTAATAATATTAATTACAAAATTCAAAGTTGTATATAACTAAAATTTATATTGTATAAAAAAAAACCTATTACCAAATTTAAAAATTTGCATTAGATCAAAATAATTATAATGCTACTAATAAACTACCCAACATAGGGTTTTACCCTAACCCTAATTAAACTCAGTTTTGAAATTTTGATTTCAATTTAACGTATAAGATTTGGTAACAAATATCCTGAGCCGTTGGGTATTAGCGGAAACGAAGTACACATACAGACTGCTAAATACCCGTGATCTTGATAAAGTGATCGGGTATTTAAAACATAATGGCTTAGCCTAGCTGTAAAAATTTAATCGGCTTGGATCACTACTTAATCACTACCAAAAACTCGAGTCATTTGGCAAGCACAATCGTCATAAACCCCGTTATTGTATGTTACGCAGCCAATAACTTGTTTATCTGGCAGCGAATTTAATGTGTCATTTCTGGAATCCAGAAATGACACATTAAATTTCACAGCCAGATAATGAATTATTTTACAAATAATTCTCGTTCATCGGGAAAATTTTTTTAGTACAGATCTCTGCAAATTTTGCAAATCTTCAAACCTGGTAGCTATTTTCGCAGAAAATAAATACAATTCTGCGCAGAATTTTGTTTTTTAAAAATTTTTGCAAATTTACATTAAAATTTTTTCCGATGCTGTAAAAATCTGTTTTCACAGAATATTGCAGATCTGAATAGAAAAAATTTTCCCGGTGTTATTTGCTGCTTCGCATCCAATAACTATATCATATTCGTAATACGTATATAATTATTTTTGATTTAAAAAAAAGCTGCACCAATTTTTTTTACCGTTCATTATTTAATAACTTTTTGGAAGCTTTTTTGCATTTATATTAGTGATCCTTTAATTAAGCGACTAAATCCACAAAGTTCTCTTCACAGTAGTTACACTTTGGGCAATGCGCAGTTTCCGTAATTTTTGTAAAGTTCAAGCGAATTTCTTTTAATGGAGGTCTCCCACGGAGCATGTTTGTTATAATTTTATATTTTAAAAAATAAATAAATATACTATCCCATTGTTACGTATTATGATTACGTCAGCATGTATTAAATCATTTTATTACAGTATAACAGATAACAACAACGCTAAATCGGATTATACGTATTAAGCTTATTACGATTCGCATTAACGATATCAACGTAAATATTTATATTACTTAATGCTTAGAATTTTCCTTTATAATAAGCTCTACAAAGGTATCAGTGAAATTAAAAAATGTGGCAACTTAGATTTTGTTATAAAATTATCTACAAAAAATTTAAAAACCGTACATAGAAATTAAAAAAAAAACTATATAAGCAGTACCAATAATTATCTTCAATTTTTGTATTTATTGTGATAAAAAATTATATAAAATTAGGGGAGATAAAAAAAAAAAACCTAAAATTATAATAATTTACAAAATACAGTACAAGAAAAAATAAAGAAGTCTAATAATTTGTTTGTTGTGCAGAATTTATGATGTCGTTATCTGATTGAACCATTTCAACTTGTATTGATGGTGATATTATTTTTTGATTTTTTAATTCTTCTTTACTAAATTTTTTAGCTTTTTTCTTTGCTCTTTTGTCGCTTTCCCTTATTTGTCTAACGATGTCTAAATCATCCGGATACCACCATTGCTTGACAAAGGTTATTACATATCTTGGTAAAACAGCTAATAAAATTGAAAATGCCATACCAAACCAAAATGTACCCTCACTAATTAATTGTTGACCTATTCCATATATTGGACTTTCTGAAAATGCACCATAAACAAGAACATAACTAAAAATAAAAACAATTTCACTAATTATTATTGTCCATACTATCCAATTCCAGTGATATGTGTTAAAAGCAACGACAAGGTTTGCTATAACAATTACACTTAAAGCTACCGAAGTTGAAAACTCGGTGGTACCAGCATCAAACCCTTGAGGCATAGTAACATTAGTGGATAATGAATATATAAAATAAAACGTAAAATACACAACCAATGATTGCCATATTCCATCAAGAAAATATATTGCAAATAATTTTTTAGAATATCGCATTCTTTTTATTCCCAAATTATAAATGCTTGGATATTTTAAGCAGTATGAAGCAGTAACGGATTGATCGGTCGTTCCTATAAAAAAAAATATATATAAGTAAATTCGTCTAAGGTGAGCAAAACTAAAAATAGACTTTAATTAAATACCTAAAACTACAACAGGAGCGACAGTAAAAAACATATTATATAATTGCACAAAACTGTAATCATAGAAAATATTGGCGGAGAACCTAAAAGGTTGAAATTACTATTTAGCAAACCAATAATAAATGTACAATATTAAGGAGTATGCGTATATAAAAAAATACGTACATGCAATATATTTGGTACCATAATACCGGAAATACCCATATTACATTTTTATAAAAGAAATTTAATATCATCTCTGCAATGCGCATGTAGTCCCAATGACCGTGTACAAGTAAAAGTTTCTCTAGATATCGAAATTGGGCAATATTATAATCAGCTGCCATTGCTGCTTGCACTCCTATATAATTAAAGGAATATAAAATTTTTAGAAGGCTTTAAAAATGATTAAAAGTATTTGTTCAAAAACTTTGTTCAAAAATTTTGTTTAGATATATTACCTTCTTGTCCTGAAATGCCAACGCCAACATTAGCAGCTTGAATCATGCTTACATCATTTGCACCATCACCTATGGCTAACGTTGTGGATCTTTTTCCTCTTCGTATTAATTCGACCACCAGGGCCTTTTGTAAAGGACTAACACGACAACATATTACAGAATGAAACCGATCACTTAGTTCAAGTATTTTCAGACGTGCTTTTTCATCGTCCAATAGATGAGTTAAAGCAGAACCATCGACTATAAAAGCATGAGTATCATCAGGATGTATGGGTTCCATTTCATCATGTGGCACAATACCACCAGTTACCAAAGATGCATAAACATTATTAAGTTGTTTTTGGACAGCATCTTTTTTTGAGCCTTTTACAATCCAAAGTCTCATATCCTTTGTCAATAATTGAGCTGCAAATCCGATATTAATAGCTGTTTCTAATTTATCACCTGTCAAAACCCAAATTTTAATTCCCGCCCCTCGAAGTCTTTCTATACACTCTGGAACACCCTCTTGAAGTTTATCTTCAATTGCAGTGGCACCCAAGAGTATAAGCTCCTTTTCGATCTCTTCGGCACAAGCATCAACTTTGGAAGAACGTTCATTAATAGAAGTCGATGCTTCTTGATATTTTTTTGCCCAAGAATTATAATAGGATTCATCTAATACTCGATATGCCACAGTCAATGTTCTAAGACCTTTTAAATAACATGATAAATGAATAATCGTTTTATTAAAAATTTCTATTAAAAAATTCTATTGAAAAAATGAATTAAAGTTGTGTATATATGGATAAACTTACCATCACTAGAAAAATTATCAATATCAGTTGAAGTTTTTTCAATTAATCCTTCTTGACCATTGGCCAGACGATCAAAGACAATGTTATCAGCACCCTTACAAAATAGTACTATTCCACCACCTAATTTTTCAGGACGACGAACTATTATACTCATTCTTTTACGTGAAGAATTAAATTCTAAAACATTTAATATATCAAAATTATGTTCTTCACCAAAAATATCAATAGTCATTGATTCAGGTGTTCGACCCAAGAAAGCAAATCCAATATTTTTTGCTGCAGAAACTAAAGCTGCTTCGTCTGGAGATTCAGCTTTATATACAAGATCATGTACTAATGTTTTATCAATTGCAACGGGTTTTTTTCCTTTACTTGATGTAGGAGCTACTAAACTTGCCATTGATTCGAACCCTTTAAAAGTTGATTTGATATTCGCAATCGAGTGCTTAACTTTTTTTTTTAGATCTGAAGATGAATTATTTGAAGAAACCTTTTCTTCTTCTGTAGGACGTAAATGTTCGCTTGCTTGATCTGAGTTCTCATCATTTACAGATGTTTTACCTCTATCGCTAATACTCTTTTCACTGTCAGATTCATTAGTACTAATTTTATCCACAACTACCGTGTGACATACAGCCAATAATATGAAAAATTCTCTAACAAGTCGAGCTCTTTTTTGTTTATCTAAATTATCATCAATATTAAAATCATTTTCATTTACACCTTCAATGTTTTTTTCAGCTTTTAAATCTCTATATATATCCGGGTCTACGAATGTCAAAAAAGCAGGGTCTGTACTTGAATATTTTGGATCAAATATACTTTTAAGTTCATATAAATATTGATTCCAAATTTCATTTATATCTACATTAACTTCTTCAGCATTCGAATTATCACCACCTTGTGCTAATTCTTTTCCAATATTAGCATCCGTTTTACCAGCCCAACCATTTCTACCGTATACTTTACCACCAATAGAACATTGACGAAATTCCATTATATTACGTGTTAATGTTCCAGTTTTATCTGAAAATATATATTCAATCTGACCAAGATCATCGGAAAGATTCCACTATTTAATGATCAAAGTTGAAATATATAAATATTTACTAGGTATTAAAAGTCCGAAGGACAATATAAATAAATGAACCACAATAATTAACCAATCAGAATTGAGAATAATAGCAATGTCCTTCGGATAAATTACTTTAAAAAATAAATAAACAAAATTAATCGCTTACTGATTTAGGAACACACGGGACCTCGGCATCTTCATCCCACATATCAAGGTCATTGTAAATAAAAAAAGCCTATTGATCAACAAAAAATTCATGATTCATTTTAATAAACTTAAAAAAAATAAAATAAAGTCATCATTTAATTTTACGAAACATACCTGAAAACCTTTTACAAATTCGATCGAAATATATAAAGAAATTGGAATTATATTTTGAAAAATAATCAGGCCAGATCTACGTAATATATTTTTAGGTTATTATGAAAAAATTTTTTTAACTCATTAAAAATCAATATCAGAATCAAACATCAAAAACTTACAGAAAAGTTAAGAAAGCTGCAATCCCAATTGACTGTCCTTGATTAGAAGCTACGCGTTCTTCAATGTAATCACCCTTCGAATCTGCCAAAATGGCTGATGATACACCAGTTCCAATAGCACAAATTAAGGCAAGGACAATGAGAATTACAAAATTTAAAATGACCTAAATTTTTTTTTTTTAATAGGAAAAAAAAAAGAATAACGATCAAACGATGTAATTATAAAGTTATCAAAACAAGATCAATAAGGATGTAAACCAACCCTTTTCAAATGCTTAAGTATAAACGTACTTCCTGATTCATTTCTTTTTCGATTCTACTTCGCTTACTTGGAGTTTCACCAGAGTTAAGTATAATTTTAGTGTCGACACCGGTAAAAACAGTTATAGCGATAACCCATTCGGTATTTCTAATAACATGAGCACGTAATAATAAATTATTTATATCAATTGGAATAGAAGATTTCGATTTTCTAGGAATTTCTTGATCTTGAGGAGAATTCATCTCATCTAAACTGCCGGAAACTACGGTTAATTTTGCATTATAGTTGAAAAGATTAGAATTCGGACGTTCAGAATCAATCCAAAACATAGCTTGAGTGCATTCTTTAGGAGTTTTGATATTTTTTATTGAATCAACAGGAACACATCTACGAGGTTTAAGATTAGTTTCACCATCAAGATCTTTAGTTTCTATGAAACAACCACCATTTTGTTCGGAAGTTGATAAAATTACAGCATCAGCAGGTACAGCATCACCATTCCTTAGAAATAAAAAGTCACCAACACGAACATCTTTCCACATAACTTTTTTAAATTCAGGATCACCATTTATTTCATTTGAAGGTTCACAAGGAGGAATATCATCATCACTAATATTATTATTATTATTATTATTATTATTATAATTTGAGCCTTCTCGTGGGTTTGATTTTTTTCTTTTAAAAAAAAGTTTTATTCTAAGTAATGTTCTTTTCCATAGAGAAAGTTTTTTTTGATTTGGATAATTTACATTAACAAAATTTTGTAAAAGATAACAAGTAGCACTATTATACTTCTTATCAATTTCATGCCGATTTAAATCTTCCACGGCGTCTTTACATGCGGTGAGAAATACAACAGTCGAAATAGGAAGTAAAGTCAAAATAGGGTTATTTGTACTCACAGCAGGTATCATTCCAAGAACAGCCATTATTAAGAAATACATATTAGCAGCTCTCCGGAATTGTTCAAATAAATTTTTTGGTATAAAAGTCCATATATTATATTTAGAAGTAATAATCTTGTTAGAAACATATTTTCCTTTTGGTTGATCTTTATTTTCAGGTATAGGTATATTGGCAAATACTTGACGTTCTTTAGAAGCTGGAAGTCTATATTTTATTTTTGATTTTGCACGTTTTAATTGTTTATTTCGTGAATCGTTAACACCATTTTCGCTACTTGAAGCACTTCTCTCGCTTACTGCTTCTTGCGTCGGAGGCAACGTAAAATTCGTGGTCGGTGAGGTCATTTTAACAATAATAATAATAAAAAAAAAAAGCGAAAGTGGCTTAAAAAAGATAAAGTAGCTGAAAATAACAGTCGTGCTCTCTAATGCTCCCTAAAATTGTACTGAATTTTTTTTGTAGACGAGAGGAGTATGAATAATTACACTTGTAGGACAAGACCAGATTTAGGTATAAACTTACTGCATTTCATTGATTAGGGGGGGGTTTTCTATTTAGAAAGTCGTTTTAAACTAACGTTATTCCTAAACAATGTAATCTAACTTTTCTATAAATGAATTATTTCGGAAGTTCTAAAAATAAGTAACATCCTGTTGTTTTAATCTATATTTATATCAGATATATTAAAAAAATCATTCATCACTAAAAAGGAATTTCAATATCGATCAGGGAATGAAATTCCTCTTTAGGATTATTCTAAAAATTGAATGCACGAAGCCACGTTATCGAAAAAAAAATAAATACTGTACACGTTTCTGACCGGTAAGTATGATGACATATATCATAAATAGCTATTATAATAATAATTACCAGGTTAGATAATAGCTAAAAGAATAATGCCAATGAGTGAATTATGATGAAGAATTTCCTATAAAATGTAACAAAATATGATCGAATGAATTCCTTTTAATCGATTATATAATAATAAAATACTCTATGCGATGATAGCATTTACTTAAAAAAGTTACTGGGATTTGCTCTAACAGGGGTTGGCTCAACCTTCAACTTACTCCATTAAAATTAGACTTACCCTAGAAGTTACTATTTAACAACTCTATCCAACATCAGTAGATACTGGCTCTTTTTTACGAAATTGGCGCCATTAATATTTGATATCTTTGCAAAGCATTTTAAATACGAATTATCAAATTTACCAACCTTTTTTATTATTGATCTTTAAAGCAATGCGTAGAGGCTTAGTTAGATACGTCATACTTCATTTTTAAAAACGTAACTTCTGAACTTAAACGATTAACGTAAAATGTAATACAGTAATAAAAACCCCCTATATACTGTATACATAATATATCAACAAACTGACAATTCATCAGTATGGAATATTATTTTCCCTAAAAACTTTTTTTCTTAATTCTAAAATCGATCCTAACATTCGCTATTAGACTGTATATAAATTTATAAAAACATAAATATACAGCATAAGAGATAATAAACACCATAACAGATAACAGGTAAAAATACATTTGTAATAACTCTACACTATATAACAGAGTGTATATTTAAATCGTAAACATTTTCTTTAATTTTTTTTTATTCAAGGAGTCTCCCTTGTAATGCGTTTATCGGAATAAATAATTTTCCCTGGATAATATTACGAAATATATATGCAATGTTGAATATCATTGAAGCGATTTTTTTTGCATCAATGTAATATTTATGATATGCAACATTGAAAAGATTTTTTTGCATCAATTAATATAGTGCTGCCAAATGGGTCATTTTCGGACCATTTCTCCCCTTTACGTTACATCATTTAATATTTGATTTCGAATTTATTGTATGATCTCGGTGTACTACCCACTATTAGTGCATTGTATTACCAGGTGACGCATTATTTAAAAATTAAGGGTATTACGAATTCGCTATTTCCCACACCAGGGAATGACTAAACCATATGTATTAATCTTTAGGTAGCACTCCCACAAAAATTGCACCCCGTAATTTTTACTGAGAATAAAACAGCGTTGCTGTTTTGGTTAGTAGGTAGGAAAATTGTTTTTATTAGTAAAATTTCATGAGGAGTATTTTTAATTATGCCGCAGAAGCTGGTTTCTTAACTAAAATTTCGAGTTATTTCTGTAAAAAGATGGTTTCGCTTCGATTAACTGATCTTGAAATTTGATTGGTCAAAAATCATGGGAGGGAACAGGTGCGCTAGGGGTTATATTATATATTATTATTATGTACAAATCTTCTAACTCCGAACTCTAACCCTAATTCTGGCCATGATTTACATACCTATAGCATATGGGCGAAAATTTTTGATTGGAATGTTTATTAAGTGATATACGTAATGATTTATAAATGATTTATAAATATTATGTGCTTCATGACCAGTTTCATAAGCAATTACAGCCAAGAAAAGCGATTGACCAATTAAATACGACGAAGATTATAATTATTATGTGGTTTCATAAACGGTTTCATAAGCGGATTATAGTTAAGGCAAACAATTGACCAATTCAATTTTACATATTTTTTTACCGGAGATCATAAAATATCACAGATGATTGGATTTAAATTTTATGAATATCATTAATTTTTAATAACCACCAAATCAAAAAAATTCGCCCATATGAGTGGAATGGCTCTACAAGAAAAATGGTAATCTTGTAATCGGGTGAAATTGTTTTAATGAAAATTGTCGAAATTGGTGAATTTTAGCTTTTTTAAATAATTAAACTAAATTTTATTATAAAACTATGTTGATAAAATTATAAATAAATTTCACCCCCACCTACAATCGCAGCTTCAGGCTTTATTGGCCTAAGTGATAATCATGATCAATTTTTTGACCAATTAAATCGTTTAGTAAACTCATTGAGGAAAGCAGTTTATTAAACATCAATCCGGCTGCTTCTGCCTCCGTTGCTTTTACCAATTTTTCATATTGTAAAGGATAATATTATTGAAAAGGATTATTGCTAAATTTATAATGCTTACAGTTTTTACATAATAATGGCAATACGTTAGCGTCGATAACAATAATTTATTTTAATAAAGTTTTAATAAGCCAGTGAGAAAAAAAGATTCGTTGACCAGAATGATAAATTCATTGATTATTTTTCACATTTGAAAATTTTTTTCTTTGACATAATAAACTACGTGTCCCGCATCTTATTTATCTTAATTACAGAATTAATGATGCAGGCATTTCTTAGAGCAGTGACTACTTATGGCATTACGGCTATGACGTAGAGGTCGGACTACCCTGAGGTTTTATTGCCGTGTTGCCGTATAGCGTTACTACACTGTTACTACCCTAAAAAATTTCGCTGGCCAATCAAATTTCAAATAAACAAAATAAACACGTAATAATTTTGTACAACGCGCTTTACACTGTTATAATCAATTTTTGTATACCATCCAACCAAGTTGCTGAATATACATAACCAAATCCTCTTGTTAACTTCTTTAACATTAGATACCATATAAACGCGAAATAACGCCCACCTGCACTAATTCATTGACCTGCGCGTTATTTCGAATACACCCATGTGCGTTATTTCGAATCCAATACAGTCAACCTTCCATACAGTAACTGCACGTTTTTGGGTAAAAATACATTTATACAGTAGAATATTCATTTATGGAGCATAATCTACATATAATGATATTAAATAATTACATTGGACCGATCAAATTATATTATAGGGAAAGTGCACTTATAAAGAGTGCACATTTGGAGTGCCAACCGTATATCATTTATCACAACAAATTATGTGCTACATTAGGATGCGCGACGCCCATGTGTTATTTCAAAATAAGAGTAAATCCAATACAATCAACCTTCCATAACTGCACGTTTTTTGGGTAAAAGTGCATTTATAGAATATTCATTTATGGAGCATAATCTACATATAACGATAATATTAAATAACTAGTAAAACAAGTGCTGTTAGTGTCCGAAGCTAATACGTAATATTAGATAAGCTTTTATTTTTACGGGATTTCCATCTTATCGGGATGGTAGGCATTTTGTGTATTACGTCTCCATAGTAAGTCCTCGCTACACTTCGGGCAATTACATTAGACCAATCAAATTATTGCACTTATCATTATAGAGAAAGTGTATGCGAAGTGGACTTATAGAGGAGTGCCGCTGTATATCATTTATCGCAACAAATTATGTGCTACATTAGGATGCGCGTTAATCGAGACGCTCATGAGCACCAATGTCGAGAATATAGTTGTTAGACGAAACCTCGAGGTTTCGCGCTGACGAAAATTGAAACCTAGTTTCAACTTTTGTCAACTAAAATCTCAAATGTCGAAACTGACGAAAGGTGTCGAAATGATGAAAGGTATCGAAACTGGCGAAAGGTGACGAAAGATAACGAAAGGTAACGAAACTGACGAAACTGCAAAACTAATAAAAGATGAAGAAACAGATAAATGTTGTTGAAGCACATTGAAGATAATGTGAATAAAAAATAAATTACAAAAACAGAAAATTTTATAAAAAATTTTAAACAAATGTGAGTAAAGGCGCCTTGGCTTTCCACATTCTGTGTTCATAAGAGGCTAAAATTTAAAATAAAATTTATACTTAGATTAGTTTTAATAATAAACTTAATAATCAATTAAGTAAATCAGCACAAATAATAAATTAATAATAAACATAGATTATTTAACTTATTCCATGGGTCTTATGTAACAACCTGTGCTTTTTCATTTGGTTATTGCACAGGATTGTACGTCAGACACCATGAAATAATAAAGTTATTGTATGGGTATATGAATAACCGTGACCTTCGGCCACGGTTATTCACCACATACCCATACAATAACAATCATATATTTCAGTGTTTATATTAAAAAATAATTGTTATGTCTATTGGCTAAATTGACTTGAATAAAAGCACACACAGGTCGAACTTTAAAATTTTGATAAGATTTCAGAGAGATATCAGCTAGGGATGGCAGAATTCATGATTTAAATCGATTTTTATGATTTAAAAATGATTTGCAAATGATTTAAATCATTCGG